ACCCTACTCTTATACATTTATTTTTTAATTTTTAAGAACTTTAGTTAGCATATTTTAAACAAAGTTTCATAAAATATAAGGGCAGACTTGTAGGGAAATAAATCTTTCAACTTTGGGATCTTTGAGCCATGGATGCAGAGTTGAAAGGACCTTGAATCTTCAGATTCATTTTTCTTTTTCCGAAAATGAAGAAACTGAGCAGTGTTAAATGGCTGGCTCATGCTGCTATTTGATGGGAAAGCCAGGACAGTTCAGATCTGCTTTATACGTGCTTATACACATGATCTCTGTGATGCTGGGGTGTTTCTAAGTCACTGTCCATGGCAGTATTGAAACTCTGTTCTCTAATACCACCTTTACGGTGCGCAGTACAACTGTCCCTCCATTATGCAGAAATTATGCTCTGTTATTCAAATAAATAGTGTCCTCCATAAGTCAGAAATAATGAGTTCTGCTAACTCATGTACACTTGTGTTCCAAATGTTTGTTTTTAACTAGCTGCTTGTTTTCTATGGGAACATGAGTTCCCTTACTCTCTCCTCCAAGTCATTGAACATGCCCATTCAAGAAGGCTCATTTCTCCTTTTTACCAAACCATGTCTGTCTTATTTAATGCTTAGTTTCAGTCTTGTCAATGACATAAAGCCTCTATAAGTTAATTCTTCCTCACTCTTCACTTCTCCTCACTCCAGTATTTCCTTCCTCTACCCCTCCTTCCTGTCTGTCTCTAAATAATGTGTCCTTCCCTTAATGTAATTTAAAATTATTATTTCCTATGTTCACCATCTAGGATTTCTTTTAACACAATTAAGTAAAAGCCAAACTAACAGTGACTTAAACCATAAGGACATCTACTGTTTACCTAAACAGAAGTCTGGAGGTGGGACTGTGCCTGGGAGACATCAGATCAAATTAAACCCAAAGTTGTTTTATGGTTTCTGTGGTGGCAGAAACCAATCCGATTAGTGTCAGTCTGGACTGAGTTAGGAATTGAAAACACCTAGCTGAAGTGGAAGACATGGGCATAAGAAACCAGCAGGCAGATCATGCCAGAATTGGGGATGACACCTACCAACCTGTTAAGATAAGCTATTAGAAAGGACTTTACAACAACTAGGTCCCACAGAAACAGCAGGCAATAAATTTGTTTTCTGTGAAAATCAGATGGAGTATTGGGAAAAAAGAGCTGTGACTTTAATGAGTAACTTCTATTCATTTATCAAATCTTAAATTACTACCTGCTATCCTACAGCCAATCTAGACTTAGGAGTTCAGGATACTAATGATTAAAGACTATTCTTGTTCTCATGTTCATACTCTGGTTGAGAAGGCAGGCATACGAGTAATTACAATTCCATGTCATGAGTGTTCTAATGGTTATATATAAAATGGTATGAAAACCACAACAGACAGCAATTAATTCTGCCTGAGAGGATCAGAGAAGGCACCACTGAGAAGGTGACTTTTAAGCAGAGGAAGAGGGGCGTTCCAAAGACCAGAAGAACACACAGAAACATGAATACAGTGGCATGCAAGAACATAGCATTTTCGATAAATAATGAGAAAGTTTATGTAGCTGGAATGTATTGAGCAAATGGGTGAGACTGGAGACAGGAAGTTGAATCTAAATAAGATGGTTCAGTTAATCTGTGCTTGAGGCTATTCAAGGTCAGAGAAGAAAGTGATCAAGAGGCTAAGAGAATAGATAAGGATGCGGGTGATCATAACTGAACTGACCAACAGTGGATATAGATACGGGAGAAAGTAGCATTAAATGGGGGAGACTCAGACTGCAGGTGTTGTTAAGTTCAAAGAGTAGGTGTGGGATAGTTAAGTAGGGTAGAAGTGGTTCCGTAGGTTTGTTCAAAGAGTGGAGTTCTGAAGTTTAAGGTTTCAAATTTGGAGCAGACTCGAGAGTAAGGGGGGAGTCCATGACCTTGAAGACCACTGGACTATAAGGGCTCTCATATGAGCCAAGGGCATTGAAGTCCACATGGACTTTGAAATTATTCTGTTTAATTGGGTTGCCCTTTGAAGTAGATCCTGAGACAAGGATTTGAGTGTGAGAAGTTTATTTGGAAGGTGATCCCAGGAAGCAGTGGTAGGAGAAGGGGAGAGCAACAGAAGAAAAGGAAGGAAGTCAGTATTAGGGTGTCTTATTGGGCAAGTTCCTGCAGTGGGTCATTGGGGCTGAATCCTTCTGGATAATTCTAGCAGAGAGCATGGACTACCTGTCAAAGCGATCCACACTCCCTCTAAGGGTGAGAAAGCTGGAGTATTCTTTCTCAAACTCCCTTTTGTCATTGACTGAGGACAGATCCCAGCAGCAGTAACTTCCTAGCACTTCTGCCTCTAGAGGAGAGTCACAGGAGCTTGTAGCAAGAATGACCAATGGATATTAGAGCAGTGAGTGCTAAGGGATAGAGTTGTGGCACTGACAGCATCAGCTGTGTTTACCCTAGGTCATTTTAGGAGTTGAGCTAGAGAGAAACTTTACGAGCTGGGCACCAGAACCCTTGGTGGAGTTGAGTGAGTAACATAGAGGCTAGGAAAGAAAGCAAGAAGCTAGAAAAAAAAGTGCTATTACAAATCACAATTCCACACACTGCCGGCAAATATTGAAAATGCTTGGTGAGAGAGCTGGAGTACCTACTAAAAATTCCATTCAGTCAAGGGCTTCTGGGTATTATAATAATTGAAGGTAAGAAATATACTTCTGGCTGACATGCTTTATAACAGCATGTCATGAAGTCAGTAAGTCATAGGCCCGCCATTTCTTTACTGTCAGCTGACGTTAATTGATGTTAACAAGTCAATAGAGTCACGCTTCTAGAGCTATCATGAACTGGCTTGAACAAGATGGCTTTAGGAGCACCATCTTCTCTGCAGAAGCACATCCTCTTAGTCCCAGCTCTGCTTGATTCCTCTCCTGCTTTGGGATTCACTTCCAGGGAGACAGTATTTACCATGAAGGAACATCGCAGAGGGACCCCTCATGTAACTACTTCTCCTATGTCTACCAGACCCTTGGTGAATTAAGAAAAGACTACACAGCTTGCTCATGGTTGCTTCTGTATTTGAAGAAGTGATCTCTGCTTTGGTGAAGGAATCTTCTAGAACTCTAGACCTCTGTTTTTTAATGACCTTTCTTTTAATGTCTGTAACTCATTCTTTCTTTTCTTATCATTTGCAGTTCTGAGCCATCAATCCCAAATCATAGCTTTTAATGGTCTGCTAGCGTATTTTGACGATTCCCATGTTACAAATGAGTCATGTTCTTCAGTGGACTATCTGTAAATTGGGATTTCATATATCAATCCAACATAATTCTGTTTTTGAAATACTGTGTTTGTATCTTCCAAAATTCTAGCAAATTTGTCTATCCAAAATTCCCAAACTAAGCATCCCAATTGTTTCTCTGTATCTCAACACCACCATTGTGTATGCTTATTATTTTAATATAGTTTATTATTTAATAAAAATTTGCAGTACGATATCATGTTCTTTATCTCCTGCTGTGTTTATGGATGTCAGTAGGTGTACCTATATCACTTATTTCCCAACCCTTTGTCAACAGTAAAAATCAACATTTAAAAAAAATTCTCTATTTTTGTATTTTAGGAAGACTTTACTAAATTTTCATTTATGTTAAGGACACAAAAGTAAGAAGTACACAATTATAATACAAGGCTTAGCAATTGAAAGAAGGCAGGGGAGACTGCATTATTCAACGTTCTCACTACATGTAAGTGATGAAAGTTTCTACATCTGACCAACTCCTGTTATTTTTCAAAGACACCTACGTAACCACATACATTTGTAGCTCAAGTATTACATAGCAATACATACCTACATATATTTGTAGTTCAAGAATTACTTTCTAATTATTAAAATGTATATAATCTCTTGTTCTACATCAAGCAATTTGACCATATAAGAATGATACTTGTTCCACTTTCTGTATTCTCTACTTATTTACAGAAAATGGAAAACTGAAATGCTAACCTAATCTAAAGCCCCATCACTACTTCCAAAATTCAAATAAAATTCTTACTCAGATTTTGTGGTAAGCATTCTTAAATACCAAATAGCATATTCTTTACTATCAATGCTGTCCCTTGAGAGCTCATAGTCCTTGTTTATGGTTCTACTTCAGGTATAAAGCTGTCTCTTTAATTCACCTACCAGTCATAATAAATAATATGGCACACTGTCAACTAAACCTTTGAGCAAGGAAAACTCTTTAAAATAGCTAATGAGAATATATGGGATTGCAAACCCTGTAGAGGTGGGCATCTAGATTGTATCTTTAGGAAATACAGAGTCCAGCTTTCTTCTGAAGTCCTGCTCAGCTTCCTTGATACTCACAGTTCTATCATATCAGGCTGCAGGAGAAGTGTGTCAGTAGCCTTATCGCTGCCTGAGGGCCACTGCTTATCTGAACAGCCCTTCAGAAAAAGGTACTCTTTCTAGTTCCCAGGTTCATCTTTGACCTATGACTTATTTTTAAAAGATTTTATTTTTCCTTTTTCTCCCCAAAGCCCTCCGGTATATAGCTGTATATTTTTTGGTGTGAGTCCTTCCAGTTGTGGCATGTGGGAGGACACCACCCCAACATGGCCCGATGAGCAGTGCCATATCCCTGACCCAGATCTGAACCGGTGAAACCCTGGGCCACCGAAGCAGAGCAGGCAAAGCCAACCACTCGGCCATGAGGCCAGTCCCCTGACCTATGACTTTTTGGGACTGAGCATTGTTCGCACTTATTCATTAATGTTAATCCTTAGTAACCAAATTGTAGCCGTGTAACATATATACCTAAAATGTTAGTTTAAGACATTAGACATATGCAATAGGATGCCCCATTTCCCCTGTTTTTGGAAGTAAAATCTTAGAAGTGGAGAACAAAGGCTTACAGAAAACTTAAGGAGGATTTTGGACAAGTCAGCATCATTCTTATTCTTGCTTTCACCAAAGGCCACACTTGGATTAATGCAGTTTCTCAACCTCAGCTCTATTGGTATTTTCAGCCAGACAATTCTTTGCTGCAGGGGCTGTCCTGTGCATTGTAGGATGTTTAGCAGTATCCCTAGTCTCTATCCTCCAGATAACAGTAGCTCCCCCAGGTCATGACAAATAAAAATGTCTCCAGACGTTGCCAAATGTCCTCTCGGGGGCAAAATCACCCCAGTTGAGAATAACTGGATTAATGGAAAGGTGGAAGGAAACTATTCTTTTCACATAAGTAATAAAACTCACACAGAACTCCTGCAGGAAATAAACTCATGTAGCAGAAAACAGGTTGGCCTTTTTATTAGTTATCCTAAACACCCTCAGGCCACGTTCTAGATTGCTGCTTGGATGTTGACAGTGAAGTCCATTTTCTCAGCAAAAAAGGATTAAAGGGAGAAAAAGCCACTGAAATGATATATGATACAAGGCTGCACAATTGTCAAGTAAGGGAATACTATAAATGCTGCTACATTAGTTAATAATCCACAAGAGTTCAAAACAAATTTTTGTGTAGGACCCATTCAAATTTAGTATATTTAAAACATTCTAAATAAATGTCTTGGTTTAAGACCTCTACTTGTTTAAAATAATAATGATTCTTTAGTTTTGTTTTTCTAAATAAAGATGGAAATCCATCAACCATAGACCTCATCTAATTAAGTAATTCATTTTTTTAAACCAGGAAATAGGCACTGGTTTTTTCATTTCACTGGACAGTCTCTGCAAACTCAAATCCTGCAGGATCTATTGTCTCTGCCTGCAACCGTGCTTTGCAGTTAAGGTCATTCCATTGTGGATAGAAATGGAGGGATTCTGCTGTGGACGTTAAAACAGTATAATTCTGCCATGGCCATTTAAAACAGTATTTTTTCCACAATCATTTCCCACCACGTCTCTTGCCCTCCCCCCAATATTCAAACATATGCTCAGTCCTTTCAGGAAGGAAGGAAATCTACCCAGGAGGTATAAAATGAGCATGATTCAAATGTTTTGTCAGCTGGAGTCCTAGCCAGCAACCAATTTTCACAAACTCTTGTACGTTATTCAAATTATCATAATATTATTCAAATAATCATAACACAGCACTGGGTCTTTGACCTATTAATTATCCTTTCATCCATTCCCTCCCTGCTGCCGAGTTAATTAGTCAGATGGTGGGGTCTCTGCTTTATGTACATTATCTCAACCACAGAAAGCCACAAAGTTGCGTCAAGAACTACAGTTAGAGTCATCCTTTTCCGTCCTAATAATCATGTATGCAAATTATTTTTTAATTTTTCTCTTCTTGCTAATAGCCTTACTATTCAGAGGAGAGCAGGCGTAACTTCATCCCTTTTCCACTGTCTGTGTATATTCTTTTTTTAAAGAAGAAATGAGTGGTAGCCAGCCACCAGCCAGCCCAGATAGCATTCTTGCCCTAGTTTTTCCTCTCATTGAAATAGAGTAAACCACTTCTTGGACATGCGGAATACTCTTTACCCTGTCCTTCGTCCCCCAAAGCCATAATTGAGTATCCTTGATTGGCGCTGGCAGTGGGATGTGGTCCTGTCTGCTGCTACATGAACACCAGTGGGCTCATCATTCAGAAATCTAATCCCCAGCAGTTCACAGAGTGGCTTCCTGAAATTCCTTCCTCGTGTACAGTAGAGCTCACCATATGACATCAGTCTCTGTAAATAAACATCAAGCCATATATTTCATGTCAGAAATGCCATGAGGGTGTTAAGTTTTTTTCATATACCTCTAAACAAACTGAATGGATTTTCTGTCAAAGTTTTTATTTTTTAAGACTACAAGAGTCTCTTTCAGATTGGTAAGGAAGATTATTTTTATGAATGTAAGATTGAAATTAGCTAGTTTTCTTTTCCATTCTCTCAGTGAAAGTTGAGTCAGGAAAACAGAAACTACTCTAGATATTCTCAAATAGAGGAAATTCAATATAGCGAGTGGATGACAGAGTGATGGAAGAGCTAAGAAGCCAAATAGAGAATAGAGGCAACCCAGAGATTAGCAACAGCAAGAAGCCACGAGCACCCCTAGAGAAGAGCTGCTGACAGTAGAATCCAGAAGCCAGGCCTCCAGCTGAAGCTTCAACCATGGAGGGGGCTGCCCATGGGAGCTGTGACCACAGAGAAATGCAGTCACTGCAGGAGAGCACCCCATGAGGCAGAAATAGAAAGAGAGAAATACCTCTGCTCCTTCTTTCTTCCTTCCATCGAATCTTCACTAGGCCTCCACTGATGGAATTTTTCTAGAAACCAGGTGCAAGGAAGCCTAGAAAACATTACCTGCAGGAGAAGTGTGGGAGAAGAATCTGAGGGTTGTATCGATGTTCACTTTCAGTGATAGTTAAGTGAATGCAGAGCTAGTCAAGATCAGTTAAATGACAGATTCATGAGGCCCATGTAGAGGGGCACGTAGAATTAAGCCCCACTCATCCAGAATTCATAAGAACTCACAAGAAATTTACCCCAGTCTAAATAATTAAAGAGTAAGCCAAAGAGGTTAAAGGAATAAACAAAACCAAGAAGCCATCTATTTCAAGCATTCTGTTGCCTCTTGGATATTGTAATTGGTGGAATAATGACCCTCCAGAGATGTCCAAGTCCTAATCTCCAGAACTGTGAATATGTTACTTTACATAACAAAAAGGATTTTGTAGATGTGATCAAGGTTCAGGACCTTATGTTGGGAAGATTCTCCTGGATTATCTGGGTGGGTCCAACCTTATCATATGAGTCTTCAAAATTGGAGGATCTTTCCTGGGTGCTATGAGAGAGAGGTGACAGGAAGAGGTGTCAGGGAGATGTGAAAAGGACTCACCAGATATTACTGGTTTTGAAAATGGAAGAAGGGAGCCAGGAGCCAAGGAAGGTGAGTAGCTTCTAGAAGCTGGAAATGGCAAGGAAACAGATCCTACCCACTCCACTTGCTGCCATTTATCAATTTTTCCACACACTACTCAATCCATCACTTCCATCAGCATACAAAATTGCTGGCATTTCTTTCATTTTATTAAAAAAAGCCTTCTTGTGGCCTCAATTCTCCAGTAGTTACTACTGCCTTCCTTTGCTCCTTTTTTCAGCAAGCCTTTTGAATTTGTCTACACTTGTTCTGTTTAATTCTGTGTTTCCTGTTCTCGCTTAAAGCCACTCCAATCAGACTAACTGCCCCCGCCTCTCCAGTAACAATCAATTCTCAGTCCTCACCTTACTTGACCTAGCAGCAGCATTTGCCACAGTTGATCACTCTCTCCTCCGTGACGCATCTCTTTTTTTCGCTTGCCTTCTGGAACACCAAGTTCTTCTGCTTCAGTGGTCACTCTTTCTAAGTCTCCTTGGTTGCTTATTCCTCTTCTCCCTGACCTCTTATGCTGATGGTCCCAGGATTCAGACCTTGGCTGTTTCCCTTTCACTATGTACACTCATTCTCTTGATGATCTTATCTTTTCTCATGGATTTAAATACCATCTATACACTGATGATTCTCAAATGTTATCCCTGGTCCAGGATTCTCTCCGGAACTATTGACCCAGGTATCCAACTGCCTACTTGCCATCTCCACTAGAATGTCTAATAGGCATCTCAGCTTCACATGGTCAAACTGAATTCCAGATTCTCCCTTCAAACCTACTCCACTTCAGCCTTCCCCATCTCAGTTCCTAGTAACTCCATCCCTCCATTAGCTCCAATCAGAAATCTTGGACTCATCCCTGATTCCCTCTTTTTATTCATATGTTCAGACTCTACCTTCAACACATATAGAGATCTCAAAAACAATGAGCATGCCTAGCTCCTACTTACCAAGTTTTTATTAAAAGGAACCAGGAATTCTTGAAGAAATGGCTGATTCTTGGGCTGGGGCTGAGAAAGTACGAAATGGGCCTGGATCATCTTATTGTGCCAGAAGTGAAAAAGTGCTCAAATTATGACAGGGACATGGCAAAAGGACACTGGCCCCAGCTTGAAAAGTCTCCCACTCTCCAAATCTGAGATAATTTGAGCATCTAAATAAATGTAAATATGTTTTCTTATGTGGCAAAAGGGAATTAAAGTTACAGACAGAATTTAGGTTGCTAATTAACTGACCTTAAAATGCAGAGACTGTCCTGGATTATCTGGGTGGGCTCAATCTAATCATATCAGCTCTTAAAATAGGAAAACCTTTTCTGGCTGTGGTCAGAAAGATGTGACAACAACTGAAGGGTCAGAGAGATGTGATATTGCTGGTTTTGAAAATGGAGGAAGGGAACTACAAACTAAGAAATGTGAGAAGCCTCTGGAATCTGGAAAAGGCAATGAAAAGGATTTTCTCCTAGAGTCTGCCAATGACTTGATTTTAGCACTTCATTTTAGGAGTATAGGACTTCTAACCTACACAGCTGTAAGATAATAAGTTTAAGTTATTTTAAACCGCTAAATTTGGGGTAATTTGTTAAAGCAGAGTAGAAAACATAAGCATACCTAAAATGGCTACCACTCCCAATTCTCCATGCCTCTCCTATGCTGGTTTTCTTCATAGCTCTGAACACTACATGCCATTTTGCTATATAACTGTTTGCTATTATTTGATATCTTTCCCCAGTAGTTACAAAGCAGAGAGTTTGTCTGCCTTATTCTCTGCTGAGTCCACAGTACATAGAGCAGTACCTGAACAGAAAGGATGCTCAATAAATGTTGGTTGGATAAATATTGAATTTGTGTGTTTACATTAATAAGAGCAGCCATTTCTGAACCTACTTTTCCCTCTCAAGTTGAAATAGGAGATTTAGAATTTGCCATTACACCATTTGGATACTCTGTAGATTTTACCCTTAAACAATTTCCATAAGGATGACTTTTGTTTTTCTGCAGTAAAACTCACAGAATAGCAATAAGTCAGTGCATCCAGGGCTGATTTCTTTAGGACAACTCCCACTGATCAGCAGGAGGAATTCCTGAACTCATTTTAATAAATGGATAACATTTCACCAGTTTCATCTACTGTTTAGAGAACCTCCTTCAGCCATAAATCAGCTCTGTGACCTAAGAACTGGGCAGGGAATTGTCAAAGTCCCTTTGCCGAGTAATTCCAGAAATGCCTTAAAGCTCAACAAAGGAGGGATCTGACATTGGAAAGCTGAAATTTATAACCTAGGGACAAACCCCACTAGGGCAAAAAAACACATCAGGCTGAAAGCCCTGGAAGACCTTTTCAGTCTTTGCTTACCGAAGTCTTCATATCTCTATAGAGGACTCTTTTCAATTAAGAAAATTAATCCATGAAAATTCAGCCTCAATTGTAACCAGGACTGTAAATCTTTACCTGTCATGATTCTTTCTAAAGTCCCAGGAGGGGATCCTGTAAACGAGCTGCTGTAGGTCTGTTGGGCTGAAATAGCAACGAAATGGCATTCTTCTGAGCACTGGACAGAACCCTTTGGATGCCAACGGTAAAGAGCTCAGGTCACTTTCTGTGACCTGCGAAGTGGCATGAACTTCCTGGGTAAACACCAAGAAAGTTGAGCACAGTTTTAAACATGGCAAAGTGTTTTGAAACACAACTTTATTCAAGAAGCTACCTTGGATTCCTAATAAGGACGTATTTTTCCAAAATAAAAAATAAGAATTTCCTTTAACCTGAAAACACATTATTTAGATTTATTACTTTCATTAAATGAAACAATAAATGATTCTGATCTGTTGGTTCATCTTTTTCTTTAGAGCAACATACCTTAAAGTTAGAGTTCCAGCTAACTAAAATCAACTCTACCAATTATTGCTGATAATCTAGACAATCTATTCTTACCCAGCCTATAAGAGTTGCTCTTCCAAATTGCACTACAATTAGGATATATTCTTAATTGCTGACTTGCTAAATCTTTATTTACACCTACATATAGGAAACCATGTATAGCTACTGGATAAACTTAGATTTGGGACAGGCTCATATAGACTTGAAAACAACTAAAAAAATTACATGAGGCTAAATATTAGTTTAATAAATTGAAAAACTGGGTTGTAGGGTACTGAACAATTAAACAAAGATTTATCAAGCCATTTGTTTTCACAATCAAAAGTTTTTCTTATGGGGCCGGCTCCATGGCCGAGTGGTTAAGTTCAAGCGCTCCACTGCGGCGGCCCAGGGTTCTGATTCTGGGCGTGGACATGGCACGGGTCGTCAGGCCACTTTGATGCGGCGTCCCACATCCCACAACTAGAAGGACCCGCAACTAAGATATACAACTAGGTACAGGGGGGTTTGGGGAGATAAATCCAAAAAAAAAAAAAAAGAAGATTGGCAACAGTTGTTAGCTCAGGTGCCAATCTTTAAAAAAAAAAAAAACGTTTTTCTTATATGAAAATGGCTTTTACAAAACAATCATAATCTCGTTAAACTTGGCTCTTCAAATATCTGCTCATGGTCTTATAGCTTTGGAGAATAACACCTTATATTTGCAAAGCAGGCAGGAGCTGTATGTTTTAACTTTCATCAATGACCTATTTGAAGAAACAGGAAACTCATTGATTTAGCTGACATAGTCACCTGGAGAGAAAGTGGACTCCTTAACAGATGGGGCTGAAATTCAAAATGACCTTGCTAAGTTGGAGAAGCAGATAGTCCCAGGCAGAGAGACACTCAAGACGATAAGCACAATAATTTATTTAGAGTAAAACTAGAGCAGAAAAGTATGTGAGAAGAAGGGGGCAAACCTGGTAAGCAAAGGTGGGCTCTGAGGGCCTGAAAGCTGTCGAGCTGAAGCTAACGAAATAACACAACAATTAATAAAATAATGAATAATTTTAAAGCAAGCATAATATGTACTACAGGTTTATGTCCAAATGTGGAAAAGGGGTTAAAGAGAGATTTAAAAATCTCCATAAGATTCAGAGAATGAAAATTAGCGAGATGAAAGTTTTGCAAGAAGATTGTTTTAGAAAAGGAAATATCAAAATATTAGCGTATTGAGTGCCTACTATATACTAAGTAATGCAAATACAAAGGTTTATTCCCATTTTCTCTCAAGGAGTCTTGAGTCTAATAAAAGAAATGCAAGTAAGTAAACAAATGCAACAAATGAGTGTTTTGATCACAGATTGACACAATATTTAGCAATAAGCTTCAAGCCTGTTTAAAAACAGTCATAATAATGTGGAATTGAGGCATAGAGAGATAAGAATGTTGCCTAAATTGCTAAGTGGTAGAGGCAGAAATTAAACCCAAATAATCTGACGCCAGATCCATGCTCTTAACCTCTCTATACACTGCCCCCTGTTTAAAAGCACAAAAATTCAAGGTTGTAGGGCCTGGAAGTTAGTGACTACAAGTGTCTGACATCTAAAATACTCAAGCTTAGAAAGCTAGTTTCTACTATCCTCAACTAAAAAATGGCTAGCCAAGCTGGGACCCATGAGAAAACAGTCCAATGCCACAGGCAACATGGGACTTCCATACTCAAGAGGCCATCTTCCCTTGGTATCAGACACATTCTATTTTTTTTGGTACAATATTAATTTTGGAGGAGAGAGGAACAGGAACTTATTTAAGTGACCCCAAGTAAAAGAGGAATTTATCCTAAGAGTGGAAATAAAAATGGATAAAATAAGAACCTCCACCATCAGGCTAGGCCATCTTGGAAACCCAAGGAAAGATGAACCCTCTGGCCTCATGGGAAGAACAGGAAGTGTGGAGGGTCAGCCTCAAGGAGATGAAGTCAAGAAGTTCATTTCTAGGGCAACTCTAGGAACCCCTTCAGCAGCAGGAGTTGATGGAGCTTCTGCCATCCAGGTGACTTGGTTCTTTGGGCTTTGTTTTTCCTGGTCCTCATGCTACCAGCCAGCAACCTCACTCTCTCTTCCCTTAATTCTCTTGTTGTCTCACAGTCTGTGCCAGCTCACAGATTCTGCTTCCTCATCATGTCGACATATCCGTGGGCCTGACGGCCTCAAATCTTGGCTCTTCAACTCCTGCTCATTCCCTTCATAAATCACATTTCAAATTTTGTATTGAAACAGGTGCTGATTGGTCAAACTGATCTCAGCATCCCTATTTGAAGAGAGCTTTTCATTCCAATTGACTTTAAAGGTTGTAGATCAACCTATTAAATGTCTGACTGCTGCTTGAATTGGCTGTGTGTACAGTGGTTTGTGAGATTTGCTGGGGGCGAGGTGGGGTGTGAGGAGCGGGGCAGGCCTGTGTCGGTCAGAAGTTGGCCACTTCTGTGCAAGGGATGGTTTAGGCCTGTTCACCCAGACAGGAACTAACATTTGTTGATCTTTAGGATGTGCAAAGTACATACGTCTTATTTAATCTCATAACAACCTTAAGAGGTAAGTATTAACACCTCCATTGGCAGGTGGTAAAAGTGGTTAAGTCACTATCTGTAGCAGAGCTTAGATTTGAACCAGGTTTGCCTGACTCCAAAGGCCTTCTTCCTCTCACAATCCCATACAGTTTCCCATCATTTCACCCCTAAACATGCTCTTATAAGCAAGAACTGAGAGGACACTGAAGGCACTATAAATACCTTTTGAACCATGCTCTGGGAAGAAAATATAGATAAAATAGATATTCCCAAATATTTAATTTCTTTGATCCATAGAGAGTTTTAAGAAAATAGTGGGCAACTAACATCCTCATCTTGCTGAAACCAAATGTTGTTCAAATGCAAATACCTGAACCAGATATAAGAAGAGCAAACATTTGTGTAATGCTTTCTCTGGGTACCACCCTTGAAGTAATGTACATTAACTCACTTAATCCTCACAAAAACACCACGAAGTAGGTACTTCACCATCTCCATTATACAGATGGGAAAACTGAGGCAGTGTGAGGTGAAGTACTTGCCCAAGTTCTCCCAGCTGTAAGTGGCAAAGCCAAGACTCAAATCCAGCCCACTTGGCTCCATGTCACATGTGAGCTGTGCTCTTCTACTGTTCTGTGATCTTCTTTGAGTACAGGCAAAAATAGTGCAAAAATAGACCTAGCTGAGTGTGTTTTAGCTGTCCTCTAAAGAAAAAGTCTAAATTTTTTAGACGCAATTTTTGAAGTATTGCTATGATAAAAAAGAGGTGTGAATCTATCATGGATAAAAACCTGTCAAAAATTTTTAAAGCCACTCCATATACCACTATTCGAACTATTAATCTCATAGAATTATCCTTCCATCTGTTTGGGGACTGACACGTGAAGAGCTATGAGTCACAAGGAAGTCTGCAAACAATACAGTGTCAAGCATTAATTCTACCATTTACTCTTGAAAAAACAATAGTTCCTGAATATTAAAGTATTATATATTGAATATAACAACTTCAGCTTGCTCTTATGACTTCCTCTGTTCAAGGCAAATGCTTATGTTTACCAGAACTAGGGTTCAAGAGGTTTAGAAATATTATGTATCTGTAATGCATGTCACTTAGTCGATTCATTTGCAAAGGAAAATAATAAGCAACAGACTGAAGGTAATGAATGAAATTCCTCGAGAAATGAGCTCAGAGAAGTTCAGTGTGAAACATGCTCTGAATAAAGCATGCTACTTATTCCTACACCATGCCTTATTCCTACACCAGAATACAGGCAGCACTCAAACCAAGACTCAGTTGCTCTGTACCAGTTGTAAACCCACACCTAGAACAATGCCTGGCACAGCCATTTGCTGAATAAATGATAAACAAATGCTACAATCCTCCCATTCAAGGTCACAGTCAGTCTTTGGTCTCTTTAGTTGACCTCCCATTGATATCAAGTAGAAACATGACACTTGCCTTACCTAGCAAGTCACGTTTTCTTGGTTTTTGAGTTCTTGTTTTAGCGTTGATTTTCCTGCACAGAAGATGCATACCTAGCAAAAAAATTAAACACTGCTGAGCTGTTAATATTCAAGGAAACAAAGACCAGTCTTATGATTTAAAACTCAGAAAAAGTAGGAATTTTTTAAATTATACAGCTATTTTAATTATTATTGCTCCCTTCAAATATAAATGAGTCTGATCAGCAAGAGTGCAAGGTGCAGGTCAAAGTCTAAAAACCAAGTCTACAGGCAGCTCAGAGTACTCTTCCTGCAGAAGAGAATTTTCCAAGGTGCTGCTGAGCCATTCAAACAAGCCCATACCTTCCCACTGCCCTAGTCTGACAGTTGAAATGTTAGTAGACACCGGAGCAGGGGACAGACTTCTCCAAATTTCCGGGAAGCCATCTCGCTCTGTGATCACTTGTGGATCCCTCACAAACCACACAGACAGGGAAGATAGCAGGACTCCAAACTGCAGACAGCAGGCCTGCCAAACCCTATGGGTATGGATGAAAAGTAAGGAGCCACTCTATCAAGCGACACTGTTACTTCATGGTCAACCTCCTGTCTCTCACACATACCGTGCTTGAGGGCAGATGTCCAGGGAGTGTTCTGGGGAAAACAGGGCACACGTGCCAGCATTTTTGCCCTTCCTTTTCCTCCTCCATCTCTTTCTCCACTACCACCTCCCTTACTCTGCATCCCCCCAACATACACACCCAGTAAAGCACATAAAACCAGTGCAAAATGTTGAAGGAAATTGTGTGTGTCTGTGTCTGTGTATTGCAGCATATGATATATACTTGTAGGGGGTCCTAATCAAACTTTTAGAGCACACATAATCACAACAGTTCAGGATGTTTGAAGGTCATGAGAACAATATTGGAAAATAAGGGTGGGACCAAAGAAATGCACTAGTTAAATATCTCCAAATCGTGGTAGCTGGAAAATTATTTTTGGAATGTCTGGAGCCTGACTCTAAGATGCCGTAAATTATATGATGCATTGTAGATTTAATAGTAGTTTTTCAGGAGGAAGAAGGTCCACGAATGAATGGTGCAAATACAGTTTTAACAACTGGAAAAGCATCCGTATATCCATATAGTCATGGACAAACTCTTCTTCAGTGGAATGAGCAAAGTTTGAGTCAAAGATTGTTCATCAACGTTGTCTAAAGAGTCTTTGGATTGACTTTCAGCCCCTGAGAGACATGCCCGGCCTTATGGTGACAAGCTGTTTTTCATAACCAGTGCTCATCATTTTGGTTTCCTTAGCTCTTGAAAATTGACAGTATAATTCTGAGGGATATTGAAAAATATGAGAATTTCTTCTGCATTTCCTATTTGGTTAAACTAATAGTTTCATATTTTTCCTCCATTAAATTACATATCACTGGAAGTTAAACAGCTTTTCTTGAAAGTCAGCCCAAAGATTTGACAGATATGTTACTCATAGAAGCTGAGCCTCTTTGTGGCCCATCTTGGCATCATGTCACCTTGAAGAGGAAAACCAATCTTGATGTCCAGAATTAATCGAAAAGCAATTTAAATCTTTAGCGCAGTCTTTCAAAAATGCCAGAAAAGAATTTTATTTATATCACATAGAAAAACATATTTGAATGCTCTTTCTCCATCTTTGTCTCTCACTCCTTCCCCCTGCTTTGCCTCTCTGCCAAGCAGAAAAAAAAAAAATCTCCCTAAAACTCTCTCTGAAGCCCATCACCTACTGCCTCTTCTCCTCTCTCTTCTCTCCTGCTTTCTGGATCTTTCTGTCTTCCATTAGAAACTCTCTGCCTTTCCCAGGGTGAATTAGCCAAGCCAACTGTCTTCCCCTCATCTACGACCCAACTGCTACCACAAAGCCCAGAAACTAAGGGAATTAAAAGCCTTCTCCATGGCAGGAAGGGAGATCAGAGGCTTATATTGTCTTATCAAAGGTAGATATTCAGAGCTTGAGTAATGATTCTTCAGATACATGAATTGAGGATCCCCAAGCTCTCCTAGCTTTGAAACATCTTGTTTATGCAGGATTTGGCAATTTCTTGTGCCTTAAATTGAATTGCCTGGCAGATGTCAGTCAATCTTCTGTGTACAAAATAACATGTAGCCAAGTGTAGTCATTTTGAGAGCATTTGAAGCAAAAAATCAATAAATCCAAGTTTAATTAAAGGTCAATATTAATTACCCAATGGCTAATTTTGTACATTTATATATTTTCAAATAATAACAACTACATCAAAACTTAGTGATCTGCATGCACCTGGCAATTTTCTCTTGTTGTTGGTTGTAAGAAGCATCTTAATTTCATATGGTTAGTTAGTTGAGGAAATGTGGTATTTGGAGTACCGAAGGACTTCTGTGAGTTATTTATAATATTAAGAGAAAGTTGGTTATTAAGGGACTGAATCCATTCTATTTTCCAAATTTCACCTAAAAATTGTAAGATAAGATATTTCTAAGGGGGTTCGTAGAGCATCTAATCCTAAACAACTTTGTGTTTTTCTCTCCCTTTTTTTTTTGGTGAGGAAGATTGTCCCTGAGCTAACATCTGTACCAATATTCCTCTATTTTGTATGTGGGATGCTGCCACAGCATGGCTTGATGAGTGATGTGTATGTCCATGCCTGGGATCTGAACCTGCAGACCAGGGCTGCCAAAGCAGAACACGTGAACTTAACCGCTATACCACCAGGCCAGCTCCTGTTTTTCTCCCATTTTAAAAATTAAGGTATAATGTACATACAGTATTATTCACCCATTTACTGTACAGTTCTGAAATTTTTGACAAACACATACAGTCACATCACCACCACCTCAAGCAAAATGTGAAACAGCCTCTATAATTTTGCCTTTTCAAGACGGTCGTATAAATGGAATAACACACTATGTAGCCTTTTAAGTTTGGCTCTCTTCACTTATCATCAGATGTTTAAAATTCATCCACAAGGTTGACTGTATCAGCAACTCATTCCTTTTTATTACTGAATAGTATTCCATTGTAATGCACCACGGTTTCTTTCTCAGTTCCCTAGTTGGGGGATATTTGGGTTGAGCAACTTTGTGTTGTGTGTTCTTCGAGGAGAGAAGTCCACGTAAACTAGACCATCAATTTCAGATCCTAGTTCTCAGCTCAAATGTCCCCATATATATTATAGCTGATCTAATAAAGTTCTAAATAACTGTCTTTCCACAGTTCTCATTTGCTAGCTAGCTTTTACTGACCATTACACTTGTAGGGTTGTGAAGTAGAACAAAGTCAATAGAGGAAAGGACAGAATTTAGAATTTTAATGACCTGACTTCAAATTTAATACTGAGCAGGTTATTTAATCTCTCTCTCAGTTTCCTGATTGTAAAAAGAGGATAAGCACATCCATTCACAGTCTCGCGAGGATGAAATGAGGTAATACAGCTGAAGGAATCAAGCGGAGTTCTGGAACATAGGCAATCATAACATTAGCTTCCATTCACACCTCAATCTGATTAGGTTGTTATTTTGAGACATTTATATATGGATTTAAAATTTTTTTTCATTTGGATTTTTTTTCCTTCTTTGTCAGTTTCTCTTTCCCTTCCTCTCTTTCAAGCAGGGAGCTGGCTGTAAGGGAGATAAGTGGTAGAGCAAAACCTTAAAGCTCCCTATAAGTCTTTCTCACATTTGTTTCACTAAAGGCCACAGACTGTGTTGGAAGAAAAGTAGATAAAGATCTCCCCTCTGTTAGATAGAAGTTCTTCCCGGAGGTGGGAAATGGCGGGAGGAGTGAAGGATAGTGCAGAGGAGGCTGGGGTGAGAGAGAGAAGCACATCCCAACGAGATCACCAGGATGGTAGCAAAACCCCATAGAGGAAGACCCCAGAGAGGAAAGGGAGCAGGCCACACATCTAGCAAAATGGGACTTTAGGGAACCTAACCAAAAAATTCCTGTGCTCCAAGCATGAGATGGGGGCCATCTGGACCTGAGGAGGCTGTGCAGACAGAGATGAGGGAGATCTCAGAAGCATCCCGTGGATATGAATGACTGGGACAAGAGAAACTGTACCCTCCCCCACAAATCTGAATACTGTGTAAGTTCTCAGAAACTTCATGTAACCCCAGGAACTGAGTGTCGAGGGGGATCTCAACAAAGATCTAGATTTTTTTTCCCCATTTTCTGCCAATCTAATAGAGAAGATGCATAGAGTTACAAGTTGAGTAAGAGACAATAAAAAAAATTTTATGCCTTGCACGCCTGAGCTCATAAACCCGTAGTTGTAATTCAAAGATAGAACACAGACATGATTTTCCCCCTTATGTTGTTTCACGCATTTATCGAACTATATAAATGAGGAGACAAAGGGGCTATGAGGTGCATTGGTACCATCATCAGGTAAGGTGGTCATAATCAAAGCTTATTTCTATTAGAAATGATGAAATCCTTATAATCTTAAATTAGCATCTCCAGTAGTCATTTCTTTATGAAAATGCATTACCAAATTATACTACCTTAATCTCTGGAAAAGGAGCACAATGAGGAAATGTTACATTTTTTTATAACAATCTCCATGTAGCTCAGGCAAACACATCGAATGTAAGATGTTTTACCATGCATATAATTAATTTCTTCCCCAAATATTTTCTGTCATTTTTGCTCACTATTTACTCATTCATTCATTTGTTCATTCATTCCCTCACCAAGTGCCTCGCAGGTTCCAGACACTATGGTCAACACATTAACGTCATCTGGACATGTGCAAAGTCTTTAACTACTCTAATCTGACCCCTTCCTTTATTCTTGACATGTATCTGACCTCCATTTTCTGAGGATGAAAATCAGGCGCAGGGAACACGCCTAAGTCCCTGACAGAGTTCAAGGGTTCAGACTCCTTTCATTAGGAGAAAAGAATTCTAAATGGTGGGAGCCCCACTGTTAACCTACAGTGAATTCCCAGAATCCTACTAAAGGCACTTTAAAAAATAGAGTTTCTGCAATAATGGAAAGATATACTAACACTGTCATTCCACTTATGCTCTGAGGAGCCACTGTAATAGCACAGGCTGACAAGTCTGTTTGGG